GAAGCTCTCAACAAAAAGAATAACGAACTTCAAGTTATAAAAATCATGCAAGCCCAAGCATCTTCGTTACAAATTGCATCACCCCATGAATTATCGAATGGTCAAAAAGTTATGGAATCAGGAAAGAGTGGTCTAACATTGTCTGAGCTTCCAGTTGCCTTGATGTCTGATGCGGGGAGCGATGATAAGGGTAGCTCTGCTGAATTATGGGCTTCTCCATTGATTTCAGAATTCGAGCACTTCAACAATGGAAAGCTAAAAGGATCGCCAACAACATGCAAAATAGTTGGATCTTCTGATTTGGAACTGATGGATGACTTTGTTGAAATGGAGAAATTGGCTATTGTCTCTGTTGAAAAATCTGCTGCAAATTCTCATTTTCTTTCAAATGAAGTTAATGGAAAACCGAAGTCCGTGGAAACTGAGCTAAAACGATGTTACCCTGAAGCAATGTCGAAAAGTAGTAATCCGGGCTCCTGTTTATCATACCCAGATGTTATATCTGGAGATATATCAACGAGTAAGGTTCCTGATTGGCTTCAAAATATCTCGAAAATGGTCCTTGACCAAAGTAGTTTCTCCAAAAGAGACCCTGAACAAATGCTGGAGGATATTCGAGCAGCGATGATACACCGGAGTCCTGAAAAACTTATTGATACAGAACTGTTTGCAAATCGTTGCGATGAACCTAATGTCCCTTGTAATAATGGCAGCATGTTGCCGAAGCCTTCGGGGATAGATTCAGTGAGTGATGCGAATGAGGTCGACATCACTCATCAGGTCGATATACGTGGTTCAGTGTCAAGACTGATTGAGCTCGTTGAAGGGATTAGCGTGTCGTCTTTGGATGATGATAAATCTTCCTACAAAAAGGATGGTAGTTTCTATTCAGAAACACCTACCGGCTATATGGTACGAGTTTTCCAATGGAAGATGTCTGAACTTAACACTACTTTGAAGCAGTTTATGCATAATTGTTATGACCTGTTGAATGGAAAGGCAAGCATTGAAAACTTTCTACAAGACCTAAATTCTACCTTGGATTGGATCATGAACCACTGTTTTTCACTTCAAGACGTTTCAAGCATGAGAGAATCCATAAAGAAGCATTTCGATTGGGATGAATCACGTAGCGACTGTGATCTGGAAACAGGGACGATGGTGCACGTTTCAGAAGTTGATAAATCACGTGTTTCAACAGGAGAGCTGCAATCTACCTTAACAGAAGAACATAGAAAATTGAAAGAAGAGCTTACAAGCGTAGAATCTGCGAAGAACGATCTTGAAGCAAAGTTTCAGTCTACGAACGGTGCAAGGGAAACACGAACAAATCAACTTCAAGAATCAGAAAAGAAGATTGTCAGCTTGGAGAAGGAATTAGAAACTCTTAGAGTATTGAAGGGAACAATTGAAGGTCAAATTGCCGATCAGCAAGTGGTGAATCATGATCTCGATGCACAGCTAACGGCAGCGAAAAACGAACTAAATGAGACTCGAAGAAAGTTTACAGCTCTTGAAGTTGAATTGGACAATAAAAACAATTTCTTTGAAGAATTAGAGGCCACATGCCTTGAACTGCAACTTCAGCTGGAAAGGTTCTGAATTCTCTATGATTTACTTAACTAAATGCATTAGTTTTAAGATTATTTGATTCTATTACCGAACTTCATTAGTGATCATAAAATTTCTTTATTCAAATATGGTATGATTTTTCTTCAGCACAAGGAAACAAAACCCGAGCATGGATCTCGTTCAGGAAGAGAAGCAACTACGCACGGTAAGTTCATTTCAACGTATAAGCGTCTTCATTACTGGACACTGATTATGCATCTTGAGATGTATAGTTTGGATGAAGAATTTGATATCTGGCTGTTCCTTAGTAGTTTTATCTTTCCTAGTTCAAAGATGTAGAAATTCTGATCAATATGTTCGTTCTACTGTCTTGTTCACCGATCAGTTGAAGAGACTTATGAACTTACAAAATTTTTAAGCTTTTATGGATCCCACGTGAGTTGGAGAGGAGAACGAAGCATTCTTTATAAGGGTGTGGAAACCTCTTCCTAGCATACGCGTTTTAAAAACCTTAAGGGGGAAGCCCGAAAAGGAAAGCCCAAAAAGGACAATATATACTAGCAGTGGGCTTAGACGGTTACAAATGGTATCAAAGCCAAACACCGGGCGATATGCCATCGAGGAGGCTAAGCCCCGAAGAAGAGTGGACATGAGGCGGTGTGCCAGCAAGGACATTGATCTCAAAGGGAGTAGATTGGGGGGTCCGACATCGATTGGAGAAGGGTTCGAGTATCAGTGACAACACAGGGCCCTAAAGGGGTGTAGATTGTGAGATCTCACGTCGGTAGTTGGGGAGGAGAACGAAACATTCGTTATAAGGGTGTGGAAACCTCTTCCTAGCAGACGCGTTTTAAAAACCTTGAGGGAAAGCCCGAAAGGAAAAACACAAATAGGACAATATATGAGCGACCATAAAAGTATATTCTACTCCAGTCTCATGTTCCAATGGTTTGATGGGTTATATTGTTTTCATTTGTAATGTATTCCACAAACTTGCAGGAATGGGAGATAACAACTGCTTCTGAAAGATTAGCCGAGTGCCAAGAGACGATTCTAAACCTCGGGAAGCAGTTGAAGGCTCTGGCTACTCCCAAGGAAGCTGCACTTTTAGACAAGGTCATTCTTAATCCAAACGACGAAACGCAAACATTGAGCGTCTCCACCACCACAACCACCCCCACCCCTATGACAGACACAGCCTCGACCCCAACTGTCTCTAATATCAAGACGACAAATAACCGGTTTTCTCTGCTAGATCAAATGCTAGCCGAGGATGATGCCTTCCCTAAAGATCATGAAATGCCGAAGCCTGTGGAAGTCGATGCCAATCACACTTCAACGTCAGACCCTGATAAGGCAATCGATCCACAGAAAGCGGTCCTCATATGGAATGGACATAAAAATGGAGTCGACAAAGATACAGTTGGTAATTTGGCTATCGTACCGAGTCGAAAGCAGGGAGATGGGGATGGGGGGTTGTGGAGAAAACTCTTATGGAGAAAGAAGAAAGGCAGGAGCCATAAAAAGGCCTTTCTATGACAAAAAAGGAAGCAAAGCACTGAAGTGCATAACAAGTTGACGACAAGATTGGCAGCTAAGTTTACTCTTCTTTGACTTCTGGTTTTTGTTTTGTTTGGTTTGGTTTGGTTTGTTGCTGCACAAATAGGAAATATAGATAATAAGGGATTGGATGCTTCCTAATTTTGCAGGTTTTGTAATGATTGAATGAATTTGTGTTGTACATATGTAAATCCATGCTTAAACATGAACATATAACCTTACCAATGAATGTTGTTTTGCTGAGTTGCTGTCATTATGTGAATCTGTAAGGATACTCATGTGACAAGGATGGTGTATACTATACATCGCCCAACCTCGTATCTTTGTGTTGTTTTATTGTATACGTCTAGGTTTTCATGTCTATTTATGATCTAGTGAAGTTTAAACTTCAACGATATTAGATTTCGTGAGAGGACAAATATTGTAAGTTGTAGCATTCTCTAATATCGAAAGGGAATAAAACAAGAACATGTTAAAACTTTCCGTGAAGTAAACTAGAGTAATTGTAACCGATCTTAGCACAACATTGATAACTCAAGTAGCATTGATGTCGAATGTGTTGAAGAACGTGACATTCAACGATGATGCTAGTAAGTTAGTGTTGTAGTGAACTGAATCAATAGAATGTATAGGGTGTGAAGATGACGAGATACTTGATTGTTACAATTATTACAATCAACTAAATGTTGTATCTTTCGGTATCAATATCACTGGAGACATTAACAAAAGTGTATATGACAAAGAACAATGCATTAAATCGAAGCCAAGCTTCATCGATGTGTCTATTATACTCCGGAAGATTGTTAGCAATAGGACAAACCGATAAAAGGGAAGTTCCCAGATGAGGAAATAGAGGAATGCAAGGCACTTTATGAAATTGTTTTACTTTAAATTTGAATAATATGAAATGTGTTGCAAATAGTTTAAAATATTTTTAACAGTGGAATTTGAAAGTTGAATGAATATATTTTTTTGATTGAATTTAGATAGTGTAAATGAATGACTAAAATTAAAATGTAATGTGGAGTAAAATTGATTAAAAAAGTGACCCAATAAAATAGTTTCTTAACTTATTATTAATTTGTTAGTGCCTAGAAGATTGATTTCTGAAGACACACAAATAAAAGAAACATAAATAAATATATTTCATACGAATGAATTATATAAGTTGAATCTCCAAGAGCAAATAAATAAATATATTTTATATACTCTTTTGTTAATGTATATGGGTCCAATTTTGAAATTTTAGGTCGGTTGGATTGGTGATCCGAACAACCCAAATAGACTTCACAAATTCTATTTATCCACGATACATGGTACCTAAAATCTCATAAAAGTTCAAATATCAAATATTTACATGTCACATCACTAGCATTAATTAGAAACATTATGTATTTTTTATTTTTTTTAAAAATAGGGTTAAGTTGGGTGGGACCGTAGCCCTATTCCAAAAAAAAAACAAAAAAAAAAAAACAAATGTCATCTTGCCAACCAAATCAAATTTTCTATTTTCTAAAAATTCAACCCAGATCAAACGGAAGGAAAAAAAAAAATTCAACCCAGCTTTTATAGTTTGGATTAGATAGTCTCAATTGGTCGAATTTTCCAATCATATAAGTACCTAAATAACTTATACCAATAAAAAACCTCAAATAGTTTTTTGAATTATATTTGCATTTTCAAATTTAATTAAAGAAATTAATATGAAATGTAATTAACAACATGAAACATAATTAATTAGGCATTAATTAATTTTATAGTTATTAAACCATTGATTAGGCATTAATCATTAACAAGTATAACCGACTACTTATTAATTTTATAGTTATTAAACCATTAATCAGGTATTAATCATTAACAAGTATAACAGTTAATGACTACTTTTAGGAGCATAACACAGTAATTAATATGTACATCTTAGAGGTTCAAATTTTCATGAAGGACTATTTTATAAGTGAGATTTTATAATTAACTAAAGTAAAGTAGTGAGGAGGAAACCAGTTAGCCCAAGTGGTTTGTAATTTGTATGCCACAATTAGAAGAGAGTAGAAGCCACATAGCCCAACCAAGCCAAACCATGTGAGTGAATTGTAGCTAGCAACCCAATTTAAGTCTTGAGTACTTGTTAATCCAACCCAGGCCAATCTCTCAAGCACCCAAAATATGTGCAAGAGGCTCCTCTATATGGCACAGGCTTATACCATTAGCTCCAGACTAACCAGAAGCGAATCATCGCTTTGCACCTACCCACCCATCATATTTCGTTAGCCTTAAGGCATCACAGTATCTTACATGAGTAACTTAAGAACACTGGTAAGCACTCTGAGTCTGCATAGTCCAATCAATCATTCGATAAGAGTCATACAACAGCTGTAAAATAATATCTTCAAGCAATGGATGATCGACTATGAGCATGTAAATCAACTATCAGAAACTATCCTTAATTAAAGGGTGTTTATATCGAAATGATTGGTAGCTATGGCAGTAAACGCTATATTCGGTTGTCATATACACAATACTAGCATCATTTTGCTATAAGTACAAACAACTACCCACTTGTTTACCTTATTGATAAAATGAATCAAGTAAAGGAAAAGGAAAAACAAAACTAATCACATCGGAAACAAAAATGTTCAAACACATTTCTCTGACATTTCTTATATGCTTTAGAAAAAAACATTATAATTTATCAAGAGAAACTTTGAGTATTCCTTGTCCCTCAGTCTACCCGATTCTTGTAGGGAAAGGATCGTCTCATCCATAGGGGAGAGAAAGAATGATGTTTACACAATGAAGAAATACAGATATAATTATATAGCCAGAAGGAAGAAGACAATGAAAATGAAGAGTTTAGAGAAGAAAAATGCCTCTGTTTGTATTCAGCCTCTGTAAAGTACGAATCTCGCAATCTCCTGAAGGCCAGCCTCCTCATAACATTGAGCAATACGCTCCACAGAGATGTCCCAAGTCCCATCAACCGAAGCTAAATCCAACAAAAAGGCAGCTTGATCCAAGGCAACCTGCAGTGCACGAGCCAGTAACAAAATTTATAGAAGTAATTTTTTAGTCTACTAAATGATATTTCTTGGTTTAAAATTGATCTTCAATCTAGATTTTTCGTATAGTTTTAATGTTTCAACAGTAGTATTGTCAACATATTGAAAGGAGTTTAAACTTAAAAATAATAATAGATTATTAATATGAAAGACATAGACACAAGTTACCCACTTGTTTAGTTTAGACCCGGTCAGATAGCCATTTGATTTCTGAAAATTATACTTGTTTTCTCATCATTTCTCTATGATAGGTTTCATCTTTCCTAAGAAAACTTTTGAATTCTTAATCCAAATTTCAAAAACAAAAACTATTTTTTGAACACAACTATTTTTAGTTTTCAAAACTTGGGTTAGTTTTTTAAAACACAGGTGAGAAGTAGATAACAAAACAAAGAAATCCACAGGTGGATGTAATATTTATAGCTTAATTAGCAAAAAAAAATCAAATGGTTATCAAATGGACACTCAACACACATGAAAATGTTCATATGCAAAGGGTAGTTTTGACAAAATAACCTGTTCTAATTCATGTTTGTCTGCTTGATAATTTTAAAGCAATCCATAAAGAACTGTGAAAAACCTGGGCAGGAGCCTTTCCCTTTTTGAGGTCTTCTAGCTTTCCTTCTTCTGTGACCTTCTCTTTCAAATACTCAATTTGTTCATCTTCCCATTGAGCGATATTAGCAACTTCCTGAATATGAGCCAAAACCAACTCAAGGATCAACTTTTTGCAAATATTCTTTGCTTAATCTTTCCCCATCTCTCCCAAGGCAAGCGGCTTAAAACAGAGAGCTATTAAGAAAAAGGCAAAAGAGATCAACCAGAAAGTCAATACCTCATACTTACAGCCTAGGGTCCACCATGGTGATTTTAAGGCTCCCCTCGCAGCATCCTTTGCTTCTGTTTTACGTCCCACCCTGAAGCATGAAGAAAGCACAGATTCTTTAGGTACATTCTCAGCCAAAGCATTTTTGGAGTGATGAAAAAAATCCCCACATACTTCAGCAAAACCTCTGCATTAAATACATATGGCCGTGCAAATCCTGGGAAGTGCTCCTTTTTAGTATAGAATTCTCCCGTCACCAAAGCTGAAACCTACACAAGCAGGTAAAGATATTCGAGTGCGTAAATTGGAGTCAAAGCTTCTTTCACTCACTGCATTTCAGTATTTCATAAACAACAGCCTTACAAGATCGCCTTCTTCAAAATGGCGCAATATTTTACGTTCTATGATATCTGGAAATATCCCAACCTGAGATTGAAACATTGTCAGACCTGGCACTGCAAGATACATTGCAAATGGTATAAACCTTTTTTTATTATTATGTTCACCCAAAATGTGCTTAGGAAGTATAACTTGTGTGAAGTGAGACTTAAAAACAGGAAAAAGAAAAGAAAAGAGGAAATTTTCTAATTGAAGGCTATAATGCCAGCACAAAATGCATTATGCAAAAATGTTACTTCTTCAGCAACAAGACAGAAGTAGAGTAGATAAAATATATTACTTAAATATGCTTTAAAGATACCTGTTTATGCATAAAAATATTTTTTGCATAAAAAATTATCTTTTATTTTCAAGAAGCATGAAAAAGAAGATTCTGAAGTCTAAAAACATCAGAAACTGAAAATTCTGTTTCTTTAGAGAGACCCCAAAAAGGTGATGATCAAGGCAAGCAGCTCTGTCAGGAGCACAACCAACTTGTCTGTCACCACATGGAAACGCCTTGCCCCATTTAAGAAAACATTTGTATACAAATTTATCCGTTGATGGGGACAATCAAGAGAAGTACCATGAGAAATTGTAGAATACCTTTTTCAGCAAATACCCATCAATGTTTTTGATCTGAGATTCAGCAAAATCACCCCTTACATAAAGTTTCTTCCCAGCATCAGCTGCTGCAAGAAATAGCTCATCATTTTGCTCTCCACTTCCTTTGGCATCTTCTTCCACTAGAAGTCTGTGAATAAATTGATCCACCTGCACAACAGAGAACTGAATTCTATATCAGAGTGTCTAAGGAAATGGTTTTAGAACATTGAAAAATGGGAAACAATTGCACAATAGATGCTTCACTTACGTTCTTGGCTAGTAGCCACACTCCATTCCTATTGACGTCCACTACTGGCATTTCCATCCTGAGGATAGAAGTTTATTAAGATGGAGGATGAACCACCCATAAGAAAATGTAAGAAGTTTATTCTTATTACCCAGCGGGTGCTGTTGGCCAGCGCAGCAATGCAGTTATAGTACCTTGAAACAAGAAGAAAGAATAGATTGAGATATCATACACCTACAAAGCGAACCAATTTGAATGAAAAATTCTAACATAATACCTGAGTTGTTTTTAGCCAGTGGAATGGCAAGAGGAATAATTCCTTGCTTGGCTCCCGGAGAAATTATGGATTCACCTGCTTAAAACCAACAATTTACAGGAGATTCCCATGTAGATAAGAATATGTCTGCAGGTTCAAAAAATGGGGCAACTCAGGCCTATAATTGGTTGTATAATTCTATAGTTATTTTTAGTATTTACTAGTATAAGAAAAGCCAATGCAACAGTTTATAGGGCAGAGGAAAATGCAAAGAAGCTGATAGAACCATTGGGGATGCAGATAGGCATGACATGACTCAGCATATAATTTTCAGAAAATAGAACATGGAATGAAGTTCAAGAAGGGCCTCGACCACTAGACCTCCAGGGATTCAAATGCTATTAGAGGCCTTAATTTATGAGAGAAGTAGCCATAAAAAAAAATAAAGGAACAACCAAGCCCAATATATTGCAGAAACGCATACATAACGATACATTAAGCGTACAATAATAAAAACTTGTGCCACAGGAAAATTGAAGCAAAAACTCAGGTTATTAATCGTTTTATAAAAATGTTGAGATATAACCAATTAGGTCTACGGATTTCCAATAGAATCGAAATCTATTCACGAGGACATTATTGTTTCAATTCTAATTAGAGAGTCAAGCTTCACACTCCTAATAAAATTTGTAAACAACTCCAAAGGACGAAGAATTCAGTGCCTGGACAAAATTGATGGATTCAATCGGGCAGGTTAGCGATTAATTGGTATAAAATTCATGATAGGAATGATTTGAAGCGCTTGACCAACGACATACCTCTAGTCTTCAGCATTTTCAACAAATTAGACAAATGCTGAGGAGGCTCAGTTGCCGCAACATCCTTGATGAATGATACATGGTCTGCAACACGGCGATGGTTCAAAAAGGCATTAAGATACTGAAAATCTATTAGGGAAATGTGCGAAAAATGAGCTCGCGGTGAACTTACTGGAAGTCGAAGAAGATGAAGCGCAACGGATTGTGACTCCACGGCGGCCGAGGAGCAGTGAGGGTAGAACGGCGGCGCGTGGACTTCCACAGACCACTCCACCACCAATTTTCATCCTGCTTTTTCGACCTTTTCGATTTACAATCGCTAAACGCAGCAATACATGGGCCTCATTGATAACGGCTTTTATCTCATCTTTTCTGTGAACAAAATATGAAATGAAAATTGAGGCGCTCCGATAAAGTTCCTGTTTTTTATTTTCCTAATTTCTTTTTTCTCTTTTTTTCTTTTTCTAACCGATATAACTTACAAATGAAATAATTAAATTGAACAAAAAACAAATAATTAATTAATTAAGTCTAAAAAGGGCAGTTAAATGTAAAAGTCCCATTTTTTTTTATCTTTTTTTCTTTTTAAATAAACAAGGCTGACATAAGCCTAGTGTAACCCTAAGCACGTTCCTTAAAACGTTAGCTCATTTTTTGTAATTACGAAAGGAGATGGCACTGGTAACGTACACGTAAAACCTAATTTCTATTAGACTTCTTGAAAACCCTAGTTGACTTGGGTATCAAAATGTATGTGGTCAAGTGTCGCGGTCATACTTATCTAAGACGTGTTACTTGTGACTGCATGTCGGATATTTCGGTCATACTTATCTAGGACGTGTTGTCCATGACCGCATGCTCGTCCCAAACCCCTTCTACTTGCTTCCATGTTAAATAGGTCTTTAGTATTATTGTTGTGCTAATAGATGGTCTATGACTGGTTACCAAAATCATGTTTACACCTATCAAGGCTAAAATGTCCAAAGTATATACTATAGGGAGATTGACTAGTTGTTACTTCTTCCTACTTGGATTATATACTATCAAAATTGTTGTTGTTGCTTATTCGTTTTTAGTCTGTAACATTATTTTCTTTAAAGTTGTTTTTAACATATTTTCTCATCCATGTTTTCTAAATCATTTCTCTCAAACATGACTTGAGGTTCGAGCACATATTGTTATTTATTCGCACAGTCTAAATTTTTGCACTAGTGACTTGTTTGTTGGGTTAGAACAAATGTCGTGCCATAATAATACAATTATAAAACCGAGTACCATGTTAGATATTGTCCTCTTATATTGGTGTCCTCTTTGAGCTTTCCCTTTCGGGTTTCCTTTCAAGGTTTTAAAACTGTCTAAAGGTTTCCACACCTTTATAAAAGGGTGTTTTGTTTTCTTCCCCATCCAATGTGGGACATCACAATCCACCCCCTTTAGGGCCAGCGCCGCTGACACTCTTTCTTTTCTGGACCCCAACAAATCCACCTCCTTTGGGGCCGTCCTTACTGGCACACGACGCACACTACCTTGTGTCCTTTTAGGGAACAACGATAAATCTGACACATAGTTTAGTGTCTGGCTCTGATATAATTTGTAATGCCCCAGATCTACTGCTAGTAGATATTATTCTCTTTTAGCCTCAAATAGAGCCCCATATCTACGGCTAGTAAATATTATCCTCTTTGAGCTTTCTCTTTCGAGCTTCCCCTCAAGACTTTAAAAGTCATATGCTAGAAGAAGGTTTTCATACCTTAATATGGGACATTCACAGTATCATTAATCATTTTCATTTTTAGACCTTAAACTTAAAAAAAAAATATATATATATTTAATATTTGTAATCGATCTTTACCGTTAATAATTTTTTTTTAAAAGAGCCCATAGAGACTAGAACAACCTCAAGTTTTGAAATTTTTAGTGTAATCCCGTGCAGCTATTTTCAGGCAATGAACAGACCTGTTAGCCTTCCGTCTTTCTCTGACTCGGTCTTCCCGCTCCTGAATACGCCACATCATCTCACCACTAACCAAAAACCAACCCAAATCACACACTTTCTCTCTCCTCTTCCCATTTCCCCCTTCCTCCTTTTCTCTCTCCTTTTCCGGCAGCCACCGGATTAATAAAAACAAAAAAAAACAAAAAAAAGCTCGTCCGTCTGCAGTCTGCACGGTGCCACTTCTTCCTCATTCTCCGGCCGACGGCTTCTCCGACCACCACTGTCACCCTCCTCTCTTCCTAAACTTGATTTGTCTGTCACAGATCCGAACAACAACCGGGTAACGTTAATGCCTCATTTCTTCTTTTCTTTTCTTTTTTTCTTAACATTCTCTTCATTTTGTTTAATTAATTGATCTTGGGTCATTGTTGCTTTGATTATAGTTTCCAAATTTTCTGTTTTGGGATTAGAAACCAGAACAAAAATCCATATTTGAAATATTTTTTTTATGAGAAGTAAGAATGATTTGTTGGTTGATATTTTTTTTGAATCTGGTGAATCATAACCACCAACTAAATCTTACCCAGTAAACCTTTCAACTTTACGAGATTTTGATTATAAATTTAAGATGCAAGGTTAAGTAGAACCTTCAAATTATAGCTCTACACCCAACTCAAACCAATTAGAGAATAGATAGTTGGGTTGGATTGTAAACTCTAGTCTAGTTGCTCGAGTCACCAAACCAATTAATACTAAATTTTCTATTGGTTCAATCCATTTTTTTCAACCCAACCTAACCTAACCTATCCCATGTGTGTCTCTAAATATAATTCTAAAAAACGAAGAAAAAAGTACCCTATTAAAGTATTTTGAGTATCTATGGAACTTGTTGTTGAGTTTTATATTTCTCAAACAAAAGTTAAAGTATTTTAAGTATCTTATGTAACTCGTAGTTGAGTCTTATATCATACAAGTGATTAACGTACTTACAGACGAATAGTAACTCGAAAATGCTATGAAAGAGGAAATAAGAATTTTTATATGGTCAAATATTATTATAATTTTGTTTGTGTAGTATTTTTAGATAATTAAAAAATATAAAATGAGAGGTTTGGAAAACAATTATTAATCCTTAAAAAAAGAAAACAATTATAAAATAATTAGAATAATGAGATCAAATTTAGTATTTATTTTTAAGAAGTTTTTTTTTTTTTCATATATATTATAAATTAATAAAATTTAGGTTTTGTGGCTGTAGGGTAGGGTAAGATGGATGGCAGTATTAATGATCTTAAGGTGCCTCTAAATCCACGGGACCTCGATAATGTAAGTCCACCTTATAATAATTAATAACTATTTTACTTTTAGTTTCTTCATTTTTTCTAATTTTTCTTCATTAAATTTTAAATTTTAATCAAATTAAAAAATATATACATACATTTTTCAAATGATATTTTAGTTTCAAAAAGCTTGAAAATTTAAAAAATTTATAAATTAGATAACGAGAGTAATGAACTTTACAAAAAAAAAAAAAAAAAAAAAAAAAAAAAAAAAAAAAAAAAAAAAAAAAAAAAAAAAAAAAANAAAAAAAAAAAAAAAAAAAAAAAAAAAAAAAAAAAAAAAAAAAAAAAAAAAAATACAAATTATAAGCTCAAATAATATTAAATTTTATATTTTTAGAATTACACTCTTATCACTCCAAAGTATGTCTATGGATATAATCATGGAATTCAATTATTTTTGAATTATTCATAATTATAATTTGAATTAAAGTTTGTTTTATACTTTTAGTTTTTTAGTTTTCTATTTGGTTAAATCTGTAAACCATTTTCACAAATATAAAATAAATAAATAAATAAATAATTGAAGGTTCATAATTCACCAAATTAATAGAAGTATTATTATTTTTAAGAAGAGTGGAAAATAAATAAAGAACGGTAACATTTCCGATCCCAAGTATGTCGTCGGAATATCACAGGAAGACAGAGTGGCAGAATTTCTAGAAGCCGGAGGTTTCGCCGCCGAGGAGTTCTCAGAACAAGGCATTGCAATATGTCGTCTAAGAATCAGAAGAATGGTCTGCACGGCCAAAGCCCGATCACTTCAACATGCCGTACGCATGGTCAACGGCGTCAAACGAGTACTCATCGGTCCCGGAATAGATGAAGCCAAAATCTTCTTCGATCCAAATTTGACCACCGAAGCCGAAATCCTCGCTGCCACCGATGATTCCGGCTTCGAATCCGAGCTCATCTCCGCCGCAGACGAGGCCTACAAAGTTCATATAAAACTCGATCAAGTTGGCCCTGCGGACATGACCGCCATAAGAACCTCTCTCGAGCAAGCTTCTGGAGTGAACTCTGTTGAAATGGATGGGCCAGGGCAGATGGTTTCCATCCACTATGACCCTGACCGGACTGGTCCGAGGTCCCTTTTGCAGTGCCTCAAGAGCTACGGAGCGAGTTTGTATGTGCCACCGAAGAGAAGAGATGTGGAGCAGCTTCAAGAAGCTTGTACTTATAGGAACTTGTTCTTGTTCAGCTGCTTGTTTTCTGTTCCTGTGGTGGCTTTTGCAATGGTGCTTCCTATGCTTCCTCCTTATGGGGAGTGGTTGAATTTTAGGGTTTACAATATGCTTACTGTTGGAATGGTTCTTAAATGGATCTTCTGCACACCAGTCCAGTTCTTTGCTGGCCGGAGGTAATTTTATCATCAATATCATTGTAACTATCAATATTGTGGTGTTATCAGCTTCCTCCCATTGGCTTCTTCATAGTCTCTGTTTCTCATTTCTGCTAGCCTCTAGTTTCTAATAACTAGGTAACATTTTCTTGTTTCTAGTTTCTCCCAAAGAAATGAGACAGAGAAGAAAATTGGGTTTCCATTAGAAATGGACATTGTTTAAAAGGGTGAAGACTAATTACTTCTTGAATTTCATTAAATTATGATTTGGCTATGTTTGGTTTGATTTTAGTCTTAGGGTTTATAAGTTTCAATTCAATCTCTGTTATTTTGTTAAATCTTTGCAATTGTTCATTAAAAGGTTTGCATTGTTCTTAAGTGACATGTTTTTCTTTGCTTGTGTGTGGAGAGAGGTGATAAGAGGCAGCGTTGAAACTGTGAAATATTGGATAAATTCAAGAGCATTTTGGATAAGAAAGTGCTGCTTAACACATTTATGGTCTTATTTTTCAATGGAAAAAGGCAGGAATAAGAAATTAAGCATCAGATACTATTTTCTTTGTCAAGAAAAACAAGAAACAGGAAAAAAGGAGCTGAAAATGAGAATGTTACAGCTTAAGGTTTAGAATCCTAGTTTTCTTGAAGTTGAAATGTGTTTTAGATAGTTTAATGGTTTTGTGGATAATTTTTAACAGATTTTATGTAGGATCATACCGTGCATTACAACAGAAATCAGCAAATATGGATGTTTTGGTTGCTGT